ATTATGTCCAAATCTCATTCGCCTTTTTTTTACCAAAATTTTTTCATTGCACCACCACCAGGCTTCATTTTTCTTTTTTTTTTTTTTTTTTTTTGAGAAAAAAAAAGAAGATAAACAACGATTGGAGTAGAGTAAATTGCTATGGAATTGATGTTTATTTCCTCTCAAAACAATATTAAACCATTCATGAAGCAAATATTACGAATAAATGAATTAAATTTACTTCAAAATGGTAATTTTATATTTAATAAAAAAATTGTTAAAATTAAAATTTTTTCTTTAAAAAAATTTATCAAAAAATCAATAAATTACAAGAGATCTATGAAATATATACTGCTTTATCCAAATATAATTAAATGATAATAACAAATAATACAAATCACATAGCTTTTTCAATTTTGATTCGTTTTCTTTTTTCTTTTTTTTTTTTTGCTTCATTTATTAGCATATTTTTTTAAAATTATTATGTAATGAAAAAAAAACATATAAATTAGGTTGCATTAAAATATCAAACATTTTTCTTTTATTATTTATTTTAGAAGTTAACAATAATGCTAAGTAAGCTATTATTGTTTTATGATGATAAGTGGAACTTAATATAGTAATAATAATTGAATTGAATTGGATAATAAAAAGGAAACGAAAATAAATTATTATGTATCATTTATGTAAGATATAATTTTAGATTTCTCTAAGCTTCTATCAAACATCATTTTTCAATTTGAATGTCTCTAAATTTTAATTCTTTTTTTTAAATCCAGATAACTGCATTCAATTGTTTTCTCCTTCCGTCAACCAATGATTTCAAATTTATTAATCCATTTCTTGCAATTTCACTTTTTAAAAATTTTTTATATTCCGCAATTTTTTGCAAAAAAAATTTGCAAAATAAAAATCTTTTTTTTATAAATTTATTTACCACATAGATGTTGCATAAGTTTGCATCATCAAATGACATAATGTTTCTAATATTTACGTGATATTTTAATTTAAATTTTTTACGTACGTGACGTTGCAAGTTGAAATTTACACGTTTGTTTACATCTTTAATTATGTATTTTATCCATTGCACCTCATTTTAATGTTAAATGCAAAAAAAAAAAGTGTTATTGTGTCATAAAGCAAACACAATTCAAGTGAACCACCACGAACAACAATAAAGTTAAAGTTACAATCTGCACTAATACGTTGCATGAACTATCATTAATCATAAAACGAAAACTACTATACGGTGTTGACAATTTGCCAGCTTTGTTGAAGTTTGACTTGTCAACTTCTGGCTCGATAAGTTAGGTCAGTGGGGTTATGACCTTTGGGGTTTATGCTTGAGTTGCAATTATTCAGTTGGGAATGGATTTATATTGATGTTAACATTTTCATAGAGTCATTCTGTAGAATTTCTTGATATATAACATGAGATGTAAATGCTCTAAATTCTTTAAATGCGTAAATTAAACTTACTAGTGAGTAAATATTATAATCATTCAACTCTATCATTTTTTTGGCCTACAACTTGCTTAATACTTCCATATTTGCTTAAACCGTACTATTGAGTTATTTCAGGACGATAAAAGATGATGTTTTAAGCAATGTTGCTGCGCCTACAGATGGCATTCGATTGGTTCAAGGTCAAGTCACCGCATATATTGAGAGTGAATGTGCTGGTGAAGGTGAACTGACCGTTGCCGAAAGGTACCTAATTGGTCTGATTGCGTTATTAATATTGCATATGACCTCTTAGTTATGTTGCTTATAGCAGATTAGCAGATTATTATGAAACTTTTGAGTCCTTTTTTCATCTTCTGTGCAGATTATGAAATTTCGAAACATTTTTTAGGCGTGACAAAACCTGATCAAAAATCAACCATCTTCAGTTTGAGTTTGTTGATGATTTGTTAAATATTAATACTAACCAAGTTATTCAAGTTGTTATGAGTTGCGAAATTACTGGGATATTTCAGTTCAGTAACGTGGATCTCAAATATCAGTGGACAAGGCTTTAGTCTAACTTACCCATCAATAATACTTCATGCTATTTCACGTGACCCCAATGTATTTCCAGAGGAATGTATTTACATGTTAGCTGATGCAAAAGGTTCAGGTATGTCACCATCTTCAGGAAGCATTTTTATTAGCGATGATTTTGTTGTCTTTCATTCCAACCCGGAAGCTAGATGATAGCATGTAGTCTTTTCTGCAGTAATGAATACTTGCACGAATTGCAAAAATTTTCTGTGAAACAAATTAGCTTAGTTAAAGTTAGTTAAATTAGCTTAGTTAAAGTTAGTTAAATTCTCCAGTTGTGCGTTTGCGAATGCAGGGGCAACGATAAACAATAACTGTTTTAAATAATATTTATTTGAAGAATTTAATTTCTTATTTTGCTGCATATCTATGTTAATAATAGCTATTTTGTGTTGTTACTTCCAGACATAGGAATACAAAATACCGAGGAGTCAGTGAGTAGTGCACAGGGTGTTACTGGAAATGGTACTGAAGAACAAGCAGAATTTTATGGAGCAAGGGTGCGAAATGGTTACAGTGATGATGCTGATGATGATGATGATGATGGTGGTGATGGTGATGATGACAAAGCACATTTAGCTATACGTTTTTCTCCTCATGATAAAACTATATGTAAGTTTCGGATGAAATATATTTGATATCTGAGAAGCTTCATCCTCTATTTGCTATTTTATGATTCTTTTTTATTCACGGGTTGTCTAGTAGCTTATTGATAGTCGTAATCAAGATGACTTCATGAAACCCTTAACCCTTAAATCCTTGAAACCCTTAAACCCTTGAAACCCTTACTCTTAAACAAATTATGGCAGAAAGTTAACATATTGATACCAGGAAATTAGCATAAAAATATCTCCAGTGTGCAGTTCAGTTATCACAAGGAAACACACTGAGCCTGACAATTGTACAACTGTAGTAATTGGATTGGCATTTTAAGAAATGCTTATAATGTTTTGGCTCTTATTTTGTCCAAGGTTTCTCACTTTTTGTATTTAAAAATGCGTAGAATTCTGGAATTAATTTGTTCTATTGAAATATCATTCTTTTAGATCAGAGCTTGAATAGAGTTTCAGCTTAACGTATTTGATATTAATATCATGTTTTCTAGTTTTATGATTTTTGAAAATTTCAGTGCAAAATATTTATCAGCAAATGTGCGAGTGTCAAGAACTGAATCCTGACGAGGGTGATGATTTTTCGGACGACTTCGCAATGGAACCAGAGTGGGATTTCTCAGGTTAATTAATTCTGTTGAAATATCACTTCTAGTAGGAATTTAGGGCTGCTAAGTTACGCAGTGCAACCTGATTATTGATAATGTAACGAAAACGAAGATATGTGGGAGTTTATTATCCACGTTATTTATTTTCTAATTCGTGCTTTTATTTCGTTTCAGACAGTAAATCAGATGAGGAGGAGGATTGTGAAGGAAATGGTGAAGGAGATCATCAAAATACACTGCATTTTCAAAACACACCAACCAATATGCATAGGCATGAAACCAATGGTGGTGCGTTTTTCTTTTTATTTCATTTTGACCTCTTTAACCTAAAAAATTTTTTGGTTAGTGTGGAAGACAAAAAATAATGGGATAGTGAAATGGGAACAGCCAAACTTTTTGCTCCCAATCAGTTTTCAAAATCAGTTTTTGTTGGAATGATAAGTTGGAGTAAATACTGCTTTGGCATTAAGTTTTAGAAGATTCTTTTAATTTATTATTGATTTAATCCGTGTGACATCGCCGGAAAGGGGCCAAAATTATGATTTAATACAAAGGTGCCGCGAATGCCATGTAATAAAAGCATGGGCTAGTAATATGGCATAATTCTATGAGGAAGCTTATACAAAATGTTGATTAAATTACTCAGATAATGTTGATTATTTATTAGACATATTCTTGAAGTGCCGTAGTTTTATAATCAGCTCACATTCTTCGAATTTCAGACCAAGAAGATGCTTTTGGTAGTGAACAAATGGACGAAGGATAAAAGCTACGTTGTGTGTTTTTCTTTTTATTTGAATGTTATTTTACTGCCTTTGGGTTGTTTCATTGGCTGTATGTCAATAAATAATTATGTGCGTATAGTGTTTCATCACTTTTAAAAGCGACATTTATTAATGGCTTTGGGTGGTGTTAAAACAACTTCACCCCAAAAAATGAAGCAAGGTCTTCTGGCAATCAACATCTTATTTTGGTGTAAGCTTCTTATTTCAAAAGCTAATTGAAACACATGAAATACTGTTGCAATATTCTTGCATTTACCCTAAGTAAACTCTACAATAATTTGTAGTGGTAATGTTAAGCACCTGAATGGTTTTATCAATTATTAAATTCAAAAAATTTTTGCCAAAATTTAAAAAAATTTTTTATACGTGAGGGTCAATACTTTGTCATCCATTTCATTGATTAATCGGTCCTTCCCAATAACACATTCCTACGATTCCTCGTGATTGCAGATTGATGACCTTTTTTCAATGTGACAATGTGCAAAGTACAACTAAACCAGAAATGTTCCTTCAATTTGTCATGGCATTTTCATCTGTAATTCCTCAACCCTCCACATGCTACTAACAAAAATGAGATCTTTTAAAAGCTAGTAAAATTATTTTGAATTGAAATTTCGTAAAAAGTATTTTTCGTTTTTTTTTTGTTTTTACTAAGTAAGAACATTAATTTAAGATTAACCAATAGAAATTAAATTGAAAATATTTTTAGCATTTACGATAATTACGGAACATGCTAGACATACAGGGAAAATAGGACATATATAAAAATTAGAATGTTAAGAAAAATACATTTCATTACTGGTTTGCGACAGTTTTTTTTCTTATTTCAAACAAATTTGAAAACTGTTTTCTCTTTCTTTTTTTTTCTTTTTTTTTTGTTCCTTTCATGCTATTTCTGCATCTTTTCCAACCAAAAAATTTTAATTTTTCCTGAATTATAATTGATTACATTTTCTCATTAATATTTTTAATTAATAATGATAATAATGATAATAATAATAATAATAATAATAATAATAATAACAATAATAATAATAATAATAATAATAATAATAATAATAATAATAATAATAATAATAAT